GGCGCCACGCACGAGAGCGCGCCTGCTACCCCGGGCAAGCGAGACTCGCTCGAATGGGAAGGCCAAGGTGCATCAACTGCGGCGGGTAGTGCAACTTCAACCCAAGCTGGGTCAGCAGCCCGACAACTACACTATCAAACAACTTCTCCACGCCCCAATGGGCGGCGATCGTTTCGAACCCGACGGGGCCGCGCGACCCCGTAGGACATGGCCCTCGTGAGGGCGATCTGCAAGGCGGATGATCCCTCGATAGCACAGTCCCAGAAATCAGTATGATGTTGTTCCATTCGTCTTTCATGCCACCCCTCGAAAGCGGCAATGCACGCGGTATGAGGTACAAAACTTCGAGACCGCTCTCTCATCAGAAGCACTCTTGGGAAGCATGCCCATCAAGTTGAACGTGCAATGGATGAGGAAGGTGAGCGCGTGCTCGATATGGGCGAAGATCTGCGCGACCCTTTTAATCGCGCCCTGGATAAGAGAAAAACACTCGCGAAGAGACCGCAGATCACCTCCAAGGGAAGTGCCGCCCCGCCTGAGACATCCTCACAATCTGCTCGGATAGCCAAAGATGTTGGGACAGAAAACAAGCAAACCGCCTGAGACATCCCACAAAACGACCGCGAACGGGACCGTGAAAACACCCCTGGCGGCTCCCCTTAGGGGGGCTGAAGCCAGCGCCCCGCCTGAGACACCCTCACAATCTGCTGTGTGTGGAATAAATCAGACAATGAAAAGGTCTGTGTACGAGCAGGTCTGAGTATGAGCAAGTCTGGGAACAAGTCTGAGTATTAGTTAGTCTGGGCATGAGTGAGTCTCAGCATGAGTAACTCTGAGTAGGAGTAGGTCTGAGTATGAGTAGGTCTGAGTATGTGCAAGTTTGTGTCTGAGTAAGTCTGGGTATGAGTAAAAATGAGTGTGAGTAAGTCTGGGTATGATGAGGAGGAGGAGGAGGAGGAGGAGGAGGAGAAGGAGAAGAAGGAGAAAAGGGAGAAGAAGGAGTAGGAGGCGTCCAAGTAATAACAAGAACCCCATCCTAGGATATGGGGAAAAACAGCGACAAGCCTGCCCAAAGTCCCGAATTTCCAGCTCCGGGGCCTCCAGGACGACATGCTGGGCAGACGCTTTGAGCTCCTTGATGGACTCGTTGAAGAGCTTTCTGTGGGAGTCTGAGGGGGCCCACCACTTGCCCTGGAACCGCTCGGCGCGCTGCGCCACGTCAGCGCGTGACTGGTCCATGCCGTCGAATCCCTCGAAATATCGAGCCGCCACGCGATCATCAGACTTAAGCCATCCGCGTAGCTTGGGAGCCCCATCCCAGAAGTGCGCGAGGCCACTCACGGATACCAAACTAGTTGGAAGCACGCACTTTTCCACGAGCATGCCGGCAGACCGTGGGGAACATCTCCGACCATTCTCGAATCACCTCGGGGTCTAGGGGTAGGCCAACGGCTTAGCGCACCACTCCGCCTGCTCCGCAAACTTCAAAGGCTCAAGATGCGAACGGGGAGAGCACGCCAAGCCTGAAAGAGCATTCCATAGCCGAGCAATATGCTCTGACTAAGACCCAACCTTGCATGTCGCACGTGCACCAGCGACCACTAGCACAAATAACCGTGTGAAAAGCCCCGCTTATGTCGTCCGCGCCGTCCGAGGTAGCCAGAGAACCAGAGACCCAGACTGCGCTCCAAGACCCAAGAGGGCCCGACAGCCGCACGCGCCCGAGACAGCAAGATATACTCGGCGGAACGGGACCGTACGGCGTGAGCCCGCGATAGCTCTTCAGGCAAACCTCCAACGGCATGCTCCAGGAGCGCGCCCGACACATCATCCCGAACCGAAGGATCCAGATCATCTTGTAAGGCGAGGCTCACGAAAAACAGCCAGGCGTGATCAGGACCGTAGGCAGGCGGGAGCTGGGCACCCTTCACTCCCCTCTCGATTACTCTGTGCAGAATGTGGGCATCAACGCTGGCGCGCAGGCAGACGTGGGTCTTAAGAGGAGACTGCATCATCGCGTCGACTCTCACCGCCTTGGAAACGCTCTCGGAAAATATGAGGCATCGATCATGGTCTCCCCTCTCGCGCGCGTAAAATGATCGCTGCTGGGCGCGATCGGGCCGGGCCTGGCAAGTTCAAACGGCGGTTCGCGGCTCGGCAGCACGCTCCTCCAGGTGCTTGGTCGCGTCGGCCTGTGCGAGCTCAGCCTTGGCGAGGGCCTCACCGTGCTCGACGACTGCAGCGAACTTCTGCTCGGAGGCCACCCCGACCTCCTTGGACAGCTGGGTGAGCTTGGCCACGATCATCTTGTCCAGGTCAGTGTCGGTAGGGCGCCAGAGGTGGGGAAGGGGGTAGGGGCAGAGTTGGGGTTGGAGGACTCCAACCGTTTTCATCCTGAATCGTTTTTGGACGCTCCCGCGGCCCGGTGAGGACCTCCAGAGGGCGAAAATAGTGAAAAACCCTCCGTCGTGATTTTTTCACGACGCGAGGGGGTCTGGGGAGGGACAGGCCCGTCTGCACTCTGCGAACCCCCCGACGGCCTCCGAGGACGGGGCAGCCACGGGCACCGGCCCGGTGGCCTCCGCCTGGACGGCCTGCCGCTCGGGCAGCCCTCTCGGGGAGCTGCTCGGCGAGGCACAGCGAGGTGCCTTGCCAGGGCGTCCGCCTCGTCCTCCTCCTCCTCCTCCTCCTCCTCCTCCTCCTCCTCCTCCTCCTCCTCCTCTCCTCCTCCCTCTCCTCCTCCTCCTGCTCCTCCTCCTCCTCCTCCTCCTCCTCCTCCTCCTCCTCCTCCTCCTCCTCCTCCTCCTCCTCCTCCCTCCTTCTCCTCCTGCTCTCCTCCTCCTCCTCCTCCTCCTCCTCCTCCTCCTCCTCCTCCTCCCTCCTCCTCCTCCCCCTTCTCTCCGCCGTCTCCTCCCTCCTCCTCCTCCTCCTCCTCCTCCTCCTCCTCCTCCTCCTCCTCCTCCTCCTCCTCCTCCTCCTCCTCCTCCTCCCCGTGGTCCCAGTCGCACTCGCCGTCCTCGCCGAAAGTGCGTGCCGCTGCAGCGCCAGTTGGCCTCGGAGGGGCTGGACCCACTGGCCGCACGCGCAGCACGCGTCGTGAGCAGAGCGGCCGACATCACGAGCGCGGCGACGATCAGCATGTCCATATTCCTTGCGGCACGCACGGCCCTGGTCCGACTGGCAGTGCTCGGCCCACCGGGTGCGCCACTTCCACGCTAGGACTGCAAGGAGCCTTTGCCCCACCAGGAGCTCACAGAGACAGGAATGACTCTTGGCCACGGACCAGCGCAGGACTAGCGGTATCGTTCCCCTGAGGTGCAAAGCATCTTGAGACACAATGGTTCGAGCCAAACTGGCTACGGGGAGGAAAACAAGGAGGAGGAGGAGGAGGAGGAAGAGGAGGAGGAGGAGGAGGAGGAGGGAAACATAGAGGGAGGGAGGCAGGAGGACGAGGACGAGGAGGAAGAAAGGAGGAGAAGGAGGAGGAGGAGGAGGAGGAAGAAGAGGAGGATAATGAGGAGCATGAGGGAAGAGGAGGAGGGAGGAGAAGGGAGTGGCAGGATGAGGACAAGGAAGACGACGAGGAATGAAGAACAACGATGACAAGGAGCTGCTGGAGGAGGAGGAGGCGGAGGAGGAGGAGCAGCACCAGCAGCAGCAGCAGCCGCAGCGGCAGCGGCAGCGGCAGCGGCAGCAGCAGCAGCGGCAGCAGAAGCCACACGCAAACCAGGAGCACGTGGTACCGTTTCCCCCATTACCCTCATGCCCTCCACACCTCCCCGCCCCCCCTCTCCAGATCCCCCCTCTCCCCTGCCATGCCCTCCTCCCCTCCAGCTCACACTGCAGCCGCCATGCGAACCGCAGCGAAGGCGGAGCAGGGAACGCAAGGGCTGTCCTGGCCGCGGTGGGCCGCGGCCACGAGCTGGGCCCCCCGGCCCGTCTCTGAGAGCCGGCCCGAAAACCAGGGCCCCGCTGGAGCCCAGAGCGGTCCTGGTGCTTTGGCTGTGCGCCCCTGCCCTTCGCCTGCGCCCACTCCTCCCGCGGCCCGCCGCCTCCTCCTCCTCCTCCCCCTCCTCCTCCCTCCTCCTCCTCCTCCTCCTCCTCCTCCTCCGCCTCCTCCTCCTCCTCCTCCTCCTGCTCCTCCTCATCGTCCTGCGCCCTCTTCCCCTGCCCTGCCCTGCATCGCCTCGCGTGCCCCGCCTGCCCGGAGCCCGACGCTCCTCTCGACCCCTGTGCCCGGCCCTCTGCCCTGCCCTCAGCACGCTCCCCTGCCATACCAGAGCAACTCTACCCTCGTCCGCCCGCCGCGTCCGCATCTCATCCGCTGCCGCCCCTCGCGAACAACCCTCCCCCGCCCTCTCCTGTGCCAGCATGGAATGGATGTTCCCTCTCCTCTCACTCCCCCCTCCCGCCCCCGTTTCCCCTGCCCTCTCCCCTCTCCTTCCCTCTTCTGCCGCCCCCATCTCCCCCGCCTCCCCCGTCCCATCTCCGCCCGGTCCCATTCCCCGCTGCCCTTCGTACCCCCTGCTGCGTGCATCCGCACGCTGCTCCACGAGCACCGGGGCCCGCTCAGATGAGAGGCCGTGCTCGCACCCTGGCTGCCCCTGCCCGCAAACGCCCCCCCCGCCAGCTCGGCCGCCCAGGCGCCCGCCGAGAGCCCCCGCCGGCTGAGGCAAAGATCCCCGTCGGCGCCGTGGACGCGATCCGGGGCGCGGTCGTCCCTGGGCCCCTGGCCGCCCCCGTCTGCGCCGTGCGGCGCCGCGTCGCGCCGCCACACCACGGTCCGCGACGCGTTCCGCGCCGCGCCGCGCCGCTCCGCGTCTCTCCGCGCCGCTCCGCGCACCTCCGCGCCCCTCCGCGCCCGTCCGCGCCGCACCGTTCGTTCCGTGCCCCGCTCCGCGCCCCGCTCCGCGCCCCGCCCCGCGCCGCTGGCGCGGCGCGGCGCCGCCGCGCCACGCCGCGCTCCACTCCGCGCCCGGCCCGCGCGCCCCGCGGAGGGCCTGCCCAGCAGGAGGTGCGCCACGTGTTCCAGCCCCAATGTGCCGGCGGCGCCGGCCCACGCCTTGTGCCTCGGGGCCGCGCCGCGTCCGCCCACCGCCTCTGCCTCCGCCTCCGCCTCCGCCTCCGCCTCCGCCTCTGCCTCGTCGTCGTCGTCGTCGTCGTCGTCGTCGTCGTCGTCGTCGTCGCCCTCCATCTCCTCCTCCTCCTCCCCTCCTCCTCCTCCTCCTCCACCTCCTCCTCCCTCCTCTCCCTCCTCCTCCTCCTCCTCCTCCTCCTCCTCCTCCTCCTCCTCCTCCTCCTCCTCCTCCTCCTCCTCCTCCTTCTCCTCCTCCTCCTTCCTCCTGCCTCCTCTCCCCCTCCTCCTCTCCCTCCTCCTCCTCCTCCTCCTCCTCCTCCTCCTCCTCCTCCTCCTCCTCTTTTGCCTCTGCGGCCCCCTGCGCGGCAGCAGGGCGGGCGGTCGAGCGGCGAGCCGGAGCGGTGGGAAGGGCCGCCTAAGGCGGGCCGGAAGGCAGAGGGGCGCGCGTGAGATGACGGCCACGGGCACTCAGGGAGCGCGAACCCAGGGGAGGGAGGGAGGGAAGAGCGGAAAATCCAGGAGCGAAAGACCGAGCGGAGGTGGGGCAGGCGAAGAGAGCCAACAGGAAGCGAGAGGCGGAGGGAGAGGAGCAGCCGGAAGAGTAGGGCCCGAACGGACGAGAACGCGACGCCCGACCGGGAGCAAGAGCGGCAGCGCGACGGACACGACAAGCACGACCCCACGACAACGACAACGACCGAGATGACAACCGCCACAAACGCAACGACGCCGGGCGAGCGAGGACGACGCGGGCAGGTGCGGCGGCCCAAGGCGGCCCCAAGAGGCCGCCGACACCCCACCGACCAGGAGGGACGACCAAGGGAACAGACCGGACCCCCGGGGCAGCCGAGACACGCAACGACAGGAGGACGCCAGACGGCCGGAGGGTCGGAGGAAGCCACCTGGGTTCGTATCCCCCAGCCCAGTCACTGCTGGGGTGTCTTGAGCTGCGGCGCGCGAGAAATTTCGGCCCACGGGGGAGAGTCGCCCCGAACACTTCCGCCCCTGCGGGGGCGCCCGCCGCCCAAGGATGGAGCGCCTCCCAAGCCCCTCCTCCCCGAACCATCCCGCGCTCTGGCGCCCAGGGTGCCAGCGCCCCATTTTTGTTGCACTCTGCCTCCTCCTCCTCCTCCTCCTCCTCCTCCTCCTCCTCCTCCTCCTCCTCCTCCTCCTCCTCCTCCTCCTCCGCCTCCGCCTCCGCCTCCTCCTCCTCCTCCTCCTCCTCCTCCTCCTCCTCCTCCTCCTCCTCCTCCTCCTCCCCCTGAGGCCCGAGCGGTTGAAAGAACGCGCCCTCGCCGCCAAGACCGCTGGCATCTTGCCCCCGCGCGGTCAGTTTCAGGCACTGAGTCAAGAGCGCCAGCGTCGCCGCGGCGGACGCCGCCGAGAAGGAGCAGAGCTGGCACGGACGCCAGCGCGCACGCCGTTCGGAGGCGAAGGGCATCATCAGAGTAACTCACGAGACGCTGGTGCAGCACCACGTTTGCGAGTTGCCGCGATACAACAACTGGAGCAACAGCAAGAACGCCGCCAAGGGCGAGTGGACCACTTGCAAGAGGCGCGGGCACTGGGAATACGACTCCAAGCACCCGAGCAAGGACTGGCGCTGCGGCTGCGGAGCCCAACTACCCAGGAAGGGCGAGGATACGGACCAGAACAGCAAGGGCAAGGACAAGGGCGGCGCGACCCTCGTCAAGTCCCTGGTGCACGTGGCCGCCCAGCTCCAGGCCCTCGCCGCGTAGCCAGAGGTGGCGGCGCGGCTGGCGGCAGCGGTAAACTCGGTCTCCGCCGCCGTCGCGCCGCCAGCGCCTCCGAGGAGCGCGGCCAAGCAGCTGGCGGAAGCCACCTGGGAGCTCGAGCAGGCGAACAAGGCCTGCGACGAGGCCTTCTCTCCGCACGAGGGGGCGCGAGAGCGCCCGCAGAAGGTGGGGCAGGAGCTCGCGGCCAAGGCGGCCGCGGCGGCATAGGTGGGGCCCGAGGTCGAGCAGATCCGTGACACATTGGGATCGGCCAAGACGCCGTCGCTCCTCCGCGACATCCTGTCCATGACCCCAAAGACGTCGGAGAAGGGGACGTCGCAGGACCTGGGCGCATCCTCGGCAGTCAGCCCAGAGGGGCTCGACGCTGAGGCGGATGAGCAGGCCAAGGCGGCCAGAGCTCAGATGCTGGCTGACTTGCCGAAGGCCACGCCAGACAGGGGGGGCGCTCCTGCGGGCGGCCAGGAAGAGGAGGGCGGACTCGGGCGGCCCCCAGCCCAGCGCCTCGCCGCCAGCCCAGCAGCCCACGCGCGGCATGGGATCCGAGGGCCTAGAGGCCGAGCCAGGGCAGCAGGGCGAGGCGGCGGCGACGGCCAGGGAGGCGCAGTCGGAGCAGGCGAAGGCGATCGCGAAGCAGCGCCTCCGGAAGCAGGCGAGGCAGCAGGCGAGCCAGAAGCCTGACGGTCCCGCAGAACGGCGCGTGGCGGCCCAGCCGAACGTCCGCCCCGTTTGATGTTCATCGGCAGTATCCAGACATGCGACGTCCTGACTTTTTTCAGGACGGCGTCCCTGGAAGTCCAGACCCTTTCCCCGGGGGCGGTTTTTCGTCCTGACTCGTTTTTTGACGGTACCGAGGCCCGGCGAGGGCCCCCAGGGGCCGAAAGTAGCGAAAAACCTTCCGTCCTGATTTTTTAACGACGCCATCATGTCTGGGTATCAGTACCTTGGGGAAAAAAATCGTCGAGGAGTCTCGGGCGCAGACTGCGCGGCGCGCACATGTTCCAAGACGCGCATCAGGCGCGACGGCGTCGAGGCCGCGGGGCGCGACCCGGGAGGCCGGGGCCTCCGCGCGTGCCCGTCGGCGCCCCGCCGGAGCGAGACCTCTAGGAAAGGTTCGGTAGGCGGGGTGCTAGTCGGGATCCGATCTCGGCACCAGAATTGTTATGTATATATATATATATAGAGAGAGAGAGAGAGAGAGAGAGAGAGAAAAAAAAAGAGGGCCTGCCGCGCATTATCGCGCCTCGCAGGCCACCGCAGTAGCATCTGTCTGTTGTCGCAAGTGCAGTTTTGCAATTTGGGTGCCCATGGCTGGATGTTTGAAAGGTGTCAGCCTGACTTTAGTGAGCCTGTATCTCGGGTGTTCTAACTGCTTCGCTGGGAACCATGCTGCGACTTTGGCCTCCATGGGGGCGTTCCTCAAGTCCACTTCCCACCCTTTCCATCGCTGCTGGGGATTTCTACGCTTCCCCTGAGCAGCGTGGGAAATCATGCTGGCCACGGAAGTTAGGAGCTGCGATTGTGACCATCCCTGGAGGTTTTTGGTTTCAGGGAGGGGTCCAGTCCATCTCTCCTCGACTACGCGCTCGCGAGTCCAGAAGCGGCCCCCCGCTTCCATGGTTTGCCGGCCCAGGCCGTGTCCTGGAAGCCTCAGATTGGGAAAGCGCTCGCGATCAAGGCCCAAGCCCTGCCGTCAGTCACTCGTCGCTCGCCAGCCTTGCGCGCCGCTTCCTTTCAAGCGCCCCGCGCGGCAGAACAGGCGGCCCAACCGCGATGGCCGGCGGCAGTTGCGCCCGAATCAAAGAGGCCCGCCTGCCGCCGCCGCTGCCCCTTCCCGAGTCGGCCGAGGAGCACGCCGTCGAGAGGGCGGCTATAGGGGCCAGGAGCTGGCCGACAACGCGCGGGGGCCCCTGGACCCGCTAGGCCGGTCTTAATTTCTCGAGGGCTCGGGGGGTTCAGCCTGGAGACCCAAACCCCCGACGTAATGATTTTTTCATTACATCGACCCCCAGAGGTCCCGACGCTTTCCCCATGACCGGCTTTACATCCTGAGTCGTTTTTGGATGCTCCCGAGGCCCAGAGGCCGAAAATTAGGAAAAACCTCCCGTCATGATTTTTTCATTACTCGAGGGGGTCTGGGTAGGCCGGTCTTAATTTCTCGAGGGCTCGGGGGGTTCAGCCTGGAGAAGGTGCGTCTGCCTCCGAGAACCCCACCTCCTCGGGGCCCCCGGCGGCTGCGCCTCGCCGCCCGCTCCCGGGGGCGCCCCTCGGCTCAACGCGGGCGGCCCGGCGGCGGGCCCCCTCGAGCACCTCGAGGGCCTGAACACCCAGCATGCTTTGTTGAGACCCCATATGGACCCCTCCATCGCAGAGGGGGGTGGCCCAGACGGCCCCCCCCCCTCTTTCACTGCGTGTGTCGCATCATCCTGGGCCCTGTGCGACGCCCTCGAGGTCGGGGTCGGGCCCTGTCTCGCAGCGGCCCGCTGCGCCGGGTGCCCGGACCCCCTGGGGGTCCGAAGCGAGGGAGGGCCTTCGGTTCGGAGCGGTTGCCAGCAGTTGCAGAGAGGTGGAAGACAACGTGCCTGCTCACATCGCGCAGTTCCCTGCTTTCCGCGCGTGCCCCAAGGGTTCGGAGGCGCTCGGTCGGCAACGTGGTGCGCCCGCGCAGCGGGCGGAATGCTTTCGCGCCAGGGTCCGCGACCTGGCCCCCCAAGACGCCTCGAGGATGTCGGGCAGCGGCGACGACCCCTTGCTGTCGGACTGTCCAGGTTCGGGAGAGAAGTCTCGAGAAACCGCGCTAACAGCCTTTCAGGCTGGCCGGTGGATGCGCGTCTCTAAAACTCCCAATATGTCCTGCACGCTCGTCGCGAAAAAGAAGGGGCTCCAACGGCAGGGAGAGCTTCGCAACGTCGCCCAGAGACCGTCGCAGGATGGGGCCCCAGCAGCCAAGCCGACCAGGGCCGCCCAGCAGCATCGTGAATGGCGGGCCGCGCGCTTGTCGGACATGAATAAAAAGTCCGCCTGCGAACCTCGCAGGGGCAGGGCATGGCCCTCTAGGCAGGCAGACGACGACGCGTCGAGAGCCCGCGGGCGCGATCTTGAAACGAGGCCGCGAATTCGGTGCGACTGGCTCGGCGGCCCGGAGGAGGCCACTCCTGGGAAGTTGCACCGCGCCACGAAGCCCCCCGCCCTCGTTCTGAAGACGAGCGCGCAGTCCAAGGGCAAAGCCAGCTCTCGC